ACGTCGTCTGTTTGCAGCCCAACATGCTCATTGGACACCAGAGCAATGGAAAAAAGTACTGTTTAGTGATGAGTCAAAGTTTGATTTGCACAAAAGTGATGGAGTTCATCATGTTCGGCGTATTGCAGGTAAAAGACTCGACCCAAAGTATGTCCAAGGTACTATAAAACATGGAGGTGGAAACGTGTTAGTGTGGGGTTGTTTCTCTGGCTATGAAATGGGACCAATTTATTACATTGGGGGCATTATGGATAGGTTTAAGTATAAATATATCCTTGAAAATATCATGCTCCCTTATGCAGAATGGAATATGCCACTACGATTTGTTTTTCAACACGACAATGACCCAACACATACAGCAAAATGTATAAAAGAATGGTTCAATGAAAATAGAATCACCATTCTTAAATGGCCAGCCCAATCACCCGATCTTAATCTGATCGAAAACCTGTGGGAAATTGTAGATAGGAAACTTAGAACCAAATCCTATAAAAATAAACAGCAAATTTTTGAAGAAATTGAAAATATCTGGAAAACTATTGATCAAAACATAATTGATAATTTAATTTCTTCCATGCCTCAAAGGTGCCGCCAGGTTCTCGGAAATAAAGGACTGTGGACTAAATATTAGGAAGGCAACATGATAATGTATTTGTTTTTTGAATATTCTGTTTTGTATTATTTTTATTGTATGCGTCGCTTAACTTTTGTCGTTTAAGAATGTTTGATTTTTCTTTTTCATTTTAGAATCTTGTCAATATGGGAGAAGTTTGGTATAGAATGTAATAAATGTATTTGTGTCAATGAATGTATTTGTTTTAATGAGTTTTAATTCCTCTTGCGTTATTACGTTTTCAATAGAAGAAAAAAAATATATCGTCGCTCTATTTTTGTCCGATACATACATATAATTCAGCGCTCCAGGCCTGAAGGCCTATGACTTCTATCTTTTTGACAACTTCTTTCCACGCTTTTCTGTTTTTGGTCTTTTCCTCCCAGTCTGGCGTGCCTAGTCTTCGTATATCCTCTTTGACACTTTCCAGCCACTGCTTCTTCGGTCTTCCTCTTCTTCTTCTTCTACTGCCTTCTCCTCCAAACAAAACTTTTTTGGCATTCCTATAAGACGGCATTCTGTAAACGTGTCGTAGCCAGCGCACTCTTTGAGCTCCGGTTTTTTGTATTATACTGGGTTGGTTATACATCTCCAGCAGTTCTTTATTAGTTCGCTTTCTCCATGTACCATCGTCGATTATTATCGATATATCATCGGCGTAAGCAATCAACTGATGTTTTCTATAGTAAACAACTCCGTCGGTTTAAAGCGTAAAGTTAAACAATGTTGTAGATAGCGGGTCCACTTGTCTCAGGTCTCTCGTCATGCCAAATGTGACTTTGTTCATTGTCCCGTACATTGTCATTTTTACTAACCTTATCAGTTTACTTGGTAGTCCTAGCAGTCTCATAGCTTCATATACTTTTTCTCTGTCAATGAAATCATACGCTTGCTTGAAATCAATAAATAATGCGTGTAAACCAAGCTTTTGTTCATAGCTATTATAGAACACCTGTTTCACAGTAAATATTTGGTCTATTGTGGACCTGTCCCTTCGAAAACCTCCTTGATATTCACCTATAATCTCATTTTCATATATGCTCAATCTGTCCCTTAGTTGAAATGCTAGTATCATAAATGCAGTGTCTAATAGGGCAATGTCTCTATAGTTTTCACATGAACTTTTATCACTTTTTTTGTGTATTGGGCAGATTGCGGTGTTTTTCCATTTATCTGGTAGTTCCTCTTGATTCCATATAACGTATATATCTGATCAGACATCCAAGTCGCTTGTGTAAATCTTGTCCACCCGCTTTTATCACTTCTGCTGTGATTCCATTTTCCCCTTTACTCTTATTGTGTTTTAATCTTCCTATTGTTTCTTCTATTTCCAGATCCGTTGGTTCGTGTATTTGTCCCTGATCGTCATCTTCCACTAGTGGTGCTGCTTCCGTGTTCCTTTCCTCTTCGTCTGATAGGTTTAACAGTTCCGCAAAATGTCCGGCACGCCTTTTCTAATTTTCCTGGCGTGTCACCAATAATTAATGACCCATTTGTCTTCTATAAAAGCAAGACTACCCATTTTGCTTCTTCTTACATCCTGGTAAAAGTTCTTAATGTTTTTGATGATCATGATTCAGATTCAGATTCATTTATTGATCCAGTTAGATCTACATTGTAGACATTGGATAAGTAGGTGTATATAGATTAAAATATAGATAAAATGAAGTACAATATAACAATAGGAACATGAAAAAACAATATGATACACACATGGCAATAAATTATTTATTAAGATCTATCAGAACCACTGTGGAATGTGACAAATTCACCATGGATCTTCTATTTTTTTCAAATTTATTTCCCAGTATTCACGCTTTTTCTTTCTACACATCTCTTTCAGTTTTCATTTGGCTTGCTCATATCTTTTCCTTGAGTCTGTTGTTCTAGATACATCCATTTGTATTTTAGCTTTCTGTCTTTGTTCCAATTCCTGTTTACAGTCGTCGTCGAACTACTCTTTGTTTTTTCTAGTACTCGTTTTTCTCATCATCTGTTCTGCTACATTAGTAATTATTGCTTGGATATGATTCCATTCCTGATTAACATCCTGCACAACTGGTATATTGATATCTATATCAATTATTGAAGAATATATGCTGTTTTGAAGAAAATCATGCGAATCATAGCCATAAACAAGAAATGATTTCAAGCTTTGCCGGGTAAGAAATTGTTTCAAGTAGGCTGTGTCTGTTAAGATTTCTATGGCATGTCAAAAAGATTCTTGTCAAGCAATACTCAACAAAAGTGACACCGGAACAAGTAGCGCAAGCTGTAGCTTAACAAGTTGTTTCGCTTCTACAGGGTGTCCCGAAAAAAGTGTGCAATATTCTACCAGCGGTTTCTTAAAATAGGAAGAAAAGTTTATATAAACATAGGTCGACAAACGTCCCCTAAGGGCGCTACGGTCTTTTGAAGGGGCTCCCCTGAAGATGGTTTTTAATATTTCCGAAACGTGTTGAGATAAAGACAGAATTTGGTATTCTAGCCTAAATTTTTATGCTGGATTTTAAAATATTAACAATTTTAGACAGTTTTGTTTGGAAGCGTATGGAACAGGGACGGACTCAGGTTATTTTAGTCTCAACATTTTTGTGTGATTCTGTTTTTCAAATTCTTAAATTGAATTTGAAAATTTAGGATTTTCTACATCTTATTGAATATCGATAAATTGTGCCATTTTTGAACAAATCAAAACAACTTTTGTTTGCAGTCATGGCTAACTATGTATAATCAACAATTCATTTAAATTCGCAGTACATTTCCTATCATGTGACAAATTTTTTAGTTTGATTTTATTCAAAAATGGCACAATTTATCGATATTCAATAAGAGTACCTTTCGTATATAGAAAACCCTAAATTTTCAAATTCTAAAATTGAATTTCAAAATAAGAATCACACAAAAATTTTGTGGCTAAAATAACCTAAGTCCGTCCCTGTTGCATACGCTTCCAAACAAAACTGTCTAAAATTGTTAATATTTTTAAATCCAGTATAAAAAGCTAAGCTAGAATACCAAATTTTATGTCTTTATCTCAACACGTTTTGTCGACCTATGTTTATATAAACTTATCTTCCTATTTTAAGCTCTAGATCTTGCTTCGCTACGAGGAGAACACCTTACTGCCGATAGGTACATTAGAGGATGTTTGGAAGAACATGTGGTTCCTCCTGTGCCCTTGATAGGAGAAAATTTTCTCCTAATGCAAGATAGTGCTCGGTTGCATATAGCCAAAATGACTAGGCAACACCTCAACGATGTTGGAATTCAAGTACTAGACTGGCCGCCAAGGAGTCCGCATCTCAACCCCATTGAGCATTTGTGGGATACAGTAGGAAGAAGCCTTGGACAGAACTAAGCAGAATTTCAATCTGTAACTGCGTTGGAACAGGCGCTGGTAAACGAGCAAACAAACCAAGACACAATAGATGGTTTAATTGAGTCTATGCCAGAGGATGAGAGCTGTTACTCAGCCCCGGGGAGGAAATACTCGTTTTTTTATTTTAAATTTTTTATGGTTATGATTCGCATAGTTTTCTTCCCAATGTTGTCACTGTAATTTTTTAAATTAGATTGTTTATGGCTATGATTCGCACGATTTGCTTCAAAATGGCATATATTCTTCAATACAGTTGCGTAGCTAGAAGTCATGGGGCCCCGGGGCAAACATTTTTTGGGGAGTATGTTTAAGAATAAAAAATATCATGTTATAATAAAAAAATTGTTTATTGTCATAAAAACACAAATTAAAATAATGAAATAAAAGTCAAAAATTAAACAATAGTAAAATTAAAAATCCCTTTTTCTTGCTTTTCTATTTGCAAATTCGTTGATAATATCATTTATATCAAGGTTTTGGGCTTCTTCATTCTCTATAGAGAGCACAGCAAGATCGCTTAATCTAATCTGGCCTGTAGTAGACCTAAGATAGTTTTAGCTTGTTAAATGATCTTTCAACAGTTGCAGTAGTTACAGGCAACGTAAAAAATAAAAGGAACATTAAGTAAACTTCACTTAAGTCGCTTTCAAGTACCCCATACTTACTTAAAATTATATTGAAATATTCCTTAATTGATAGATCATTCTTAAGGTCTGTTTTACAAACATTTAACAAATTGGTATACTATATATAATATAATAATATAATAATATTTATTCACTCAATAACAAACAATATGAGTAAATAAATATAAAATCAAAACAGGCCCAATAGAAGGCATCGCCTGTACATGGACCAATAAATAAATATTAAATTATTTAAATCAAATATTTCAGGATATTTGTTATAAATGGCTGTACATTTATTTTTAATGGATGTTTCATCGCAACTTAACATAATTTTTGGAAGAAGTAAATCAAACAATTTATTAATATTTTTCATGCTCCTAAATCTATGAGAAATCTGTGTCAGAACACGGTCCGTAACAACATTAAAAAACATTTATTTTAAATAAAATTTTAGTATTATTAAATCTGTAATCACTTAAGAGTTCGTCAAAGTGTTTTTTAACTTTAGGTTGACGCCTTTGCCTGAATTCCGGTTGAATATTCCATTTGTTAGCCAGTTCCGTAGCTTCAATCATTAAAATTTCATTCATAAGAAGATCTTAATTCAGTAAGGTTCTTTTCTACTTGTTCTAAAACAGTCACAGATTCACTTAAATCAATATTTTTCTTTTGAAGGACCTTTGAGGCGAAGTTAACCTGGGTAAAGATTTTATACAACATTGTTGAAATAAATACAAATTCAAAGCAACACATTTGTTTGATAATGGAAGAAGCTTCTCTTTCTTCTTTTTTATGAGACTGTAACTCTATTTCTGTTAAAGATTTAATAATATCAAGATAACGAAGTTTGACAGCACTAATAGACAATATCCTTCCTGACCAACGAGTTGGATTTAATGTTTTTAAAGTTGTTTTGGAGTCACTGGTTAAAGAAGCTAAAATATCCCATTAAACCAAAAAAAAAAAATATATATTTTGCAAAGTGGAAAAATATTGCGAGACCTCTTTATGCATCATTTATTACTAAATTTAAGTTGTGACTTGCACAGTGTACATATTCGGCATTTTGCTGAACTTTTTTTTATTTGAGCATTTACTCCATTATAAGCCCCACTCATTACACTGGTTCCATCGTAGCCTTGCCCATAACATTTTTCAATGGGAATATCTAGATTTTTTAGTATATTTAAAACTTCTTGAGTCATTCCTCCAGCAGAATGATCTTTTAACTGGAAAAAAACTCAACAAAAATTCCCACTAAAATCATCTTGACGTTCACGGTGCCCCCGAAATGACAAGGAACATTTTCCCAGAAGTAATGTAATTTTAAATAATCTTTGCAACACCATTTTCCAGAAGGATGCTTGAAATCTGATCTCTTCTTCTAGGTTCTTGTCAATGGCACGATTTTTTCCTATTAGAGGAACGTGGTGTAGTAAACATGGCAATGCTAATAACTTTATCAAAAGTAAAAGTGTTAGTACAAGGCAAAAGTTCTTTAGAAGTAGAACAAGAAATAAAAGTTGATTCACGTGTCTCAGAAATATTAATAGTTACTTGTTCTTTTTCAGAAGATTGAGAGGCTTTACATTTTTTTTCTATTTTAGCATGCTTTTCTAATTTTTCTTCTTATTCTAATTTCAATGAACTCATCCGTATGATAATTTAGTAATGAGAAAAAAATTCAAAAGTTGAAAACAATTTTTTCCCATGTTAATCAAATGGGAAATTGAAATTTGCGATGCGGCACCTCAAAATATTAATATTTAAGAGCTGTAACTTTTACAGGATTTTTTTTTTCGTCATTTCTAACAATTTGTTCGATATACTATATACTTAAGAGAAAAAAAATTAGTCGATATTTTTGAAACAGTCAATAGATCATTTTTAGTCTTTAAGAAAAATTTTGAATTTAGTGTCGGGTTTAAGGTGCTCGCAGAGTTTCCAAAACATAAGACTTAAGCCCAGACTTAATTAAGCCTTAAGCTGTAACGTAATTTCTGATGCCTTAAGGCTTAAGTCTTGACTATACTTTATAAATCACCTTATCAGAATTCTGTATAATTCCTTGCGGTTAAGTCTTAATCTGTCTTAAATGAAACTTAATGACTTTATTGCTGATCGGCGCTTAAAAACAATTTTTTAGAGGCGCATGGCCCCTATAAGCCGGGGCCCCGGGGCACTACCCCGGTTTGCCCTAGGATAGCTACGCCCCTGCTTCAATAATTGAGGTATTGACATGAATCAAAAAATGAACTGTTGGGAAACGTTGAGGCTTGAAATTCACATACGAAGACACATTATTCAGTAATCCAATGTTTCTACAGGGTGTTCAGAAATTTAGGGCAAAATACACCTTTCTAGTTGCACCCTGTATAATAATAATAATAATAATAATAATAATAATAATAATATTTATTTACTCAATGTACAAAGATAACAAACAATATGAGTAAATAAATATAAAATCAAAACAGGCCCAATAGAAGGCATCGCCTGTACATGGACCAATAATTTAAGATGAAACTGTAGAATGCAAATGACAAAAAAGGACAAAAATTAGCTACAGTAGATTATGTATTTAGTTGATGTTCGTATTTATGAGTTTATGAATTTCAGTCCTAGATATAGAATGTAGCCACTTTTTTAAATTTCTTTTGAAACAATTTCCGAAACGTAAATCTTTTAAGTCTTTAGGTATAATTTCATAAAACTTAGGCGCTAAATAGCGATATGATCGCTGCATTATAGATTTATGCGGTTGAGGAACTACTGTGCCACGAATTTTGTACCTGGTATAATGATTATGTTTAATTTTTTGGTCGGTGTTTACAAATTTATGGTAGTGAGTGATACTGTGTAAGAAATAAAGCTGACTTATATCATACATTCGAACATCTGTGTATTATTTTTCAGTGGGATAAAGTTTCGGTTTTTTAAATATCATTTTTAGAATACTTTTTTGAAAAACATCTAAATTATAGATATGTGAGGAACATGCAGCTCCCCATGCTAATATACCATATGTGAGATGAGGCTCAATCAGTGTATGGTATAATGTTCGAAGATATTTTTCTGTCAATATATTCTCAAGGTATTTAATTTTGTAGGATACAAATCTAACTTTCTTTAAAATATAATTGACATGGATGTCCCATCGTAAGTGAGGATCCAAGACCACTCCAAGGTATTTTATGTTGGGCACTCTATTAATTTGCATTTTTTGATCATTAATGTTGAAGGAGAAATTTGTGTAATTTGGCAGATGTCTAGCATAAGATCCAAATGGTAAAAAATGTGTTTTAGAGTAGTTAATGCTTAATTTTCTACTGTTAAACCACCGAATAATTTTGATAAAATCATTTTCAATTACATTTTTCAGATCAGACCAGTCAGTGCCTTCATATAATATTGCAGTATCATCTGCAAAACTAGTTATTTTGCCAACACAATTAATTTGAAAAATATCATTTAAATATATATTGAATAACAGCGGACCTAAGACAGTTCCTTGTGGACACCACACTTAATATACATTTATTTACTAAATGATCCTGATATCTGCACAGATTGTGGGCGATTTGACAAATAACTTTCGATCAGTGAGTACGCGTTTCCTCTGAAACCAATTCTCTCCAATGCTTCTAATAATAATTTGTGATTAACTGTATCGAAAGCTTTCTTTAAATCAACAAAAATGCAGATTGAAGCGATTCTGTTATCTATATTTTGATGTATTTGATTTACAATTTTAGTTATTGCGTCCGATGTAGCCTTCCCTTCTGTAAATCCATATTGATTTTCATTTAAAATTTTGAATTTTGTGAGGTATCGAATCATTCTAGTAGATAAAACTTTTTCAAAAACCTTTGCTACACTGGATATTATTGATATTGGTCTATAGTTGTTAGCATCTGTTTTTGTTCCTGATTTATGTATCGGTATTATATTACCTTCTTTTAAAATTGAGGGATATATGCCAGATTCAAAGCATTTGTTGATTAGGTAAGTGAGTGGTTCTGTTATGTCCTCGGCTATAATTTTCAAATGCTCGCTTTTAATACCATCGAACCCAGGACTTTTCCGATTTTTTAAGGACATAACAGTGGTGTATACTTCACATTGTTCGACTTTATCCAAAATAAATGAGTTCAAAGTTCTTTTTGGAGGCTGAGTATTTTGTACATTTGCTTGTATATTACTTGCTAAATTTTCGCCTATGTCAGTAAAGAATTGTACAAATTCATCGCATATCTGTTGAGTATTTTTTAATACTGTTCCCGATGTTGTATTTAACTCAGTGACACACTCTTTAAATTTTGTTTTCCCAGTAATCTCATCAATAGTTGTCCAAAGCCGCTTAGGATCATTTAAGTTGTTATTCAATTTATTTAGGTAATGTTTTCGTTTGGTTTGCCTTGCAAGCTCTATAAATTTATTTTTATATTGGTTGTAACAGTCGGTATTCTCTGTAGTTGGCGTTAGTTTCATTATATTATATAGTCTTTCTTTTTCTATTGCCGATGTTATTAATCTTTTGGTAATCCAGGCATTTCTGCTTTTCTCTTTGTGACTAATTATTACTTTATTGGTACTAATATCTATTAGCTTTTTTATTTTCTCTATGAACAGTCCCGTTGCTTTGTCTATATTATTTATAGAGTATAATTGTTCCCAGGATTCTTGTTTGACATTTGATATTAGTTTTGAATTGTCGACAAAAAATTTGTAATTTTCCTGGTTGTTATTAACGGTAGGGATGTTAGAATGTTTTTCATTTGAAGATATCAGTAAAATAGTGGAGAAGTGGTCAGTAATATCGCTTTCTAGGATTATTGGTATACAAGTAATTTTGTTGGATAGGTCTTTCACAAAGCAGTGATCTATACATGTGCCACTGATGGACCTTGTAGGTAGGTTTATATATAGGACAGAAATCCGTTACTTGATAGGATATTCAAGTATTCATTTGTGATGGGATCATTGTCCAAAATATTTATATTGACATCTCCCAAGAAAATATGTTGCTTTAAATGAACTTTATTTTGATTTTGAAAAAAAATCGATATTCTTCAAAAACTCGTGGGGTTCTGAACATGGCGGACGATAAATTGCAGATACCTCAATTTTGTTATGGTTAATTTGGATCATTATGTTTAAAATTTTGATTCCATCGGTGAAAGTGAATGTATCATGATTATATTGTAGCTCATTTCTTACAAAAACTATCACCCCATCGTTTTGGTTATAAGTGCCAAAGTTATAGAGCGTGTCATATCCCTGCTGATTGAAGCAAGAAATATCAACCACTTGCCACGTTTCAGTTAAAACTATTAGATCAAAATTGTACCATATTTGGTCGAGTAGTATTTTTAAGTAGTCAATGTTGTGTTTTATACTCCTTATGTTCATATTAAAAATTCGAAATTTTGCATCAGAATTTTGTGTACATAAATTAAGTTCATCGACGTTTTCTGCTATATTTGTTGCAATATTTGGAATTTGGAAATCATTAATGTATTTATTTACTGACATTTTTAGGTCCTCTTTAGAGATAGGAGTATCAAAAGATGAACTTGAATTTTAAAAAAGTATCCTCAAGTTTTGTTGTTCCTGATAATATTTGTACGATATAACATATATAACAACAAACATTTTTTTGCAAGATAAGCAGTCGATAATGATGAAAATGAAATTACCTACAACTTGACGAAAAAATTAACGAAATTGATGCAAAGATTAAAAAGTTATTTCAAATTTAATTTGAACAAAATTTTGTTGGTCCTGTTAGTGGCAGTGTATTATTTGCGTTTTGCTTTCGCGACTGTTCAGTATTAAAGCCATTTCTACAGAAGCAAGCGTCCCACCTAGGATCCACGTAAGTTTCATACCGTAGTTCATATTAAGCATATGAAATGCGTAACCGCCTTATGTATCTTCCTGATGTGGTGTAATAATATGGGTGTGTATAGTCGGCATTCGAGCAATGCAAGCTCACGCTAGAAGCGCTAAAAGCATTTAATCAAACAGTGTCACTCTTCGTTATGGAGAATGCAAGGCAGAATGCAAGTAAATTTTAAATTGCCTGCTTTTAGATATTACTGCTGTTTTGTAGGTAGCGCGTCTTGTGAACGGCGGAACTTTCATCATAATTTATGCTATGTGAAGAAAATATCAACATAATACTTCGTATCATCATGAGGGATGGTTTGCAATTCAAAGGTTTGAAAGCATCAAACGGTTCTATTCAAGAATGGAAAATTGAATTTGAGGTCGGAGCATTCCGACCATTATACCGGGTGTTC